TTTTTCTCTTTCCGCTTCTTTATATTAAAAATGCTTTTCGTCAAAATATAAAAGGTGCAGCTTGTTAACATTGTTGAACACCCAAAGTCTTACCTAAATTTTTATTTTAATTAAACAATAAAAAATTACACAAATAATATGAAAATGAAAGATTAAAAGCGTAGGAAAAATAGAAATTAAGTCGTGATTTATGATAATTTCTCTAACTTGAAATAGTTTATTGGCCAAACTTCCTTACTCTAAAGTTCAATTCAATAAGATTCTCTTATAAATGCAATACGATCTCTTACTTGTTGGTTGAAAAAGGAAAAGAGAATGGGGTCCATATGACACCGTATAAAAAAATTGAGCTAGAATGGTACACAGTATACGACGTGGATGGTATAGGCAAACTTTCAACTTGTAGGGAATAGCCGTGTTGGTATGGGCCCAACGAATATTTTGACAGTGGTAGCGTTAACAATTAAATATTAAGTGGAACCGGCATGAGGCCAATAGTTCGCCCCCAAGTATTAGGGTTTGGGTGAGGTAGAGGTCAGGGTTTTGAGTTCTGCCACCGCTGTGAACTTCATCAACTTGCAACTTAATTGTCGCGTGTTTCATTTGAGCGGGTGGAATGTTCACCATTCTGAGAATTCCAGTTACTAACAACTAACTCATACTAACTTCCTAACCATTACCTTGTAAAAAAAAAAAAATAATAAATAAATATTAAGTGTTTTGGATTAATTGATAATTTAAAAGTGACATTTATTTTTGTATTTTTTTAAAATAGATTTATCCTCACTCCCCCAATCAATAATTTATCTCTTGATTTAATTGTTATCAATAATTGATAAAATGATGACTGTAATTATTAATTTATGATTAATAAAAAAACTAATATTTATTAGTCATGCAATTAAATAAAATTTATAAAATAATATTTTTAAATATTATAGTTAATTAGTATTTTAAAAAAGGCCAAAAAAATTAATATTTATAAAAGACTGATTTTGTGTGGCACAATCACCACACCTGCAGAAAAATGACAAACAACTTTTTGGAAAGTTACCAACAGTAAGCATTTTATAATTCAGATAAGTGAAGTGTGGTATAGCTTCATGTTTAAATATATTAAGGTTTTTAAAAGGAATACAGTTTAAGGGCGTATATATTAATTTTTTTATTATTAATATATATAAAAAATTATAAAAATTAATTTTATTTTTAACATTAGTGTTACATGAAATGATTTTATTTTCCTCTCTATATTAGTATTATTTTTTTTACTTTATTCAATTATTATTTCTTGCATCTTAATATATCATTGTTATGTCTTTTCTCACACTAATTTTTTTCTCTTTCCG